CGCTAGTAGTAACAGGTGCATCGCTAGTAGTAACAGGTGCATCGCTACTAGTAACAACAAACTATTAGAATTTAAATTAGTAGCGTCTTTGTTCCTATTAGTAAGGCCAGGAGCCCCTAGTAGCTTCTTGCTCCTAGTAGCGTGTTACGAGGGCTGTTGAAGATACCCAGACGTGTTTGGTACAGAATCGCTCGCTCTTTGACTCGACGGGTCGGTCATGGTGAAAACAGACCTACTTGCGATGGCCTCCAGCGATGGCCTCCGCCTCCAACCCCTTCCGTTTCAGGTTTCAGTTGGATCCTGTTCCTTTGATGACACCAGAGCTCTTCCCAGAGGAATATCAAGAGGAGATGACTTGGGGTACCTACAGGCTTCGCGCTTTCCATTCGTGAAACACACAAGAAGAACGTTTTCCGCTTAACGGGGACAGCCCGCTTCCTTTTCGACCTGTTTCAGGCCTGGGATCTACTTTGGAGTGAAGGGTCGTCATGAAAAATCCTTTCTTTTTGGCCTCATGTGGGGCTCATTGGATGGAAAGCTCCTACGCCACGAGTGCCTTGGTGGTTTCTCAGCCCTAGTAGCAATGTTCGCTACGAACGGAGCAAAGGGCATCGCTACTGGTAGCAACAACGCTACGTTCGGGGCTCCTGGCCTTACTACTAGGAGCAAAGAAGCTACTAGTAACACTGTGTGCCAAAATGTTTGGGCCAAAAGGCAAGATCCAAGAAGCACCCATTGCAAGTAGCGATGGCCTCCAGCTACTAGTAGTGGCCTCCACCCTAGTAGCTTCTTGTTATCAGGTAGTCACTAGAGAAAAAAGAAAGGAATGTCTAAAGACCTGGGATAAGAAATGCACTTGTTTCTAATAGCTTCTTGTTACTACTAGTAAGGCACTTGTTACTAGAAGCGATGCACTTGTTTCTACTAACGATTTATACAATGTCATCAAAAAGGGAAAGAACATCAGAAAGGACCAGCATTGACAAGCAAAGTCCAGCGGTGCCCTTTTTTTGAGGTGTGAGTCTGGCCAGCTGAGAGCATTCAATTGGCAAGAGCACGATTCTTGCTTCAATTGGGAGTTGCTCGAATTTCACAGAAGAATAAAATAAAGCACACAGACACACACACAGACAATCTCTTTTCATTGCATGTTTTCAGCACGATGCTGAAAGAACACACAGGAAACGGCGTCAGGTAACACCAGGTTGCGCGCGGTACGTGCAGCAAGTCGAGTGAGGATGGACGGAACTATGGCTTTCAAAGAATTGAAGATGAGAAGCTGGGGCACGAGCTGAAGACCATTTTCGTCAAGGTGACACGTGGACGAAAACGACACGGTTTTGGGGGACACGTTTATTTTGAGGGAAGTGAGTCAGTGACACGTAGTTTCTAATTTAATTCTTGTTCCTAATAGCTTCACTTTTTGTTACTACTTGTTACTAGAAGCGATGCACTTGTTCCTAGTAGCTTGGGTGGAAGCACTTTTTGATGTGAGGAGGACTCCAAGAAGTGGCACGTCCGCATCAACACCACGACCCTAGGCGGGAGCCTAGACTCGAGACTGCAAGATGCAAGAACGGAGCAAAGGGCAACGCTACTAGGGGCTCTTGGCCTTACTACTAGGAGCTAGGACGCTACTAGGAGCTTTGTTGCAGGTTAATATGCCTAATCCAAAAAAGAGATGTCTTTCTTTGTTGAAACGTCTTTAGCTCCGGTCACCAGGTGCCTCCGCCAAAGCCATTGTTTTGTTCCCATACCTGGGCATTGAGGCCGTGAAAACGACGCGTGATCTTGTTCGCATTGCAAAAGAAATGGTTTGAAAGGGCACAAAGGAAAGTTAGGGCCGTTGTGATGACCTTTCATTGAAAGGGCCCACTCACTTTACTAGTAGCAAAGGGCATCGCTACTAGGAGCAAGGACGCTCCTAGTAGCTGCTGGCCCTTGTTTCTAATAGCGTCCTCTTGTTCCTAGTAGTGATGCCAGGAGCTACTAGTAGTTTCCTCTTTTGGATTCAAATCTGGTGAGCCATTTAGGGCCGCAAGATTGCTCAGCCATTCATGCGCAGAGCCACCAAATTGCTACCCGGTGAGTCCACCCGGATGCTTTGGCACTACGTGCGAGCATTCAGAATTCCTGGGCACAGGTTTTTAAACATCATTTGGTCACGCAATGTTCGCTACTAGGAACAAGTGCATCGCTTCTAGTAACAAGTGCCTTACTAGTAGGAACAAGGACGCTAGACAAGACCCACTATATCATCCTTTGGTCACCGGCACTTTTTTCCGGCGTGTTTTGGCTCCACTTCCAATCAGTTCTCATTGAGAAGCGATTCCTTGGAAGTGACTTGTTTGGCAAAAGTTGGCAAAAGACTTGAACACCACGAAGCCACAAGCATTTTGGCTTTGACTGTGAAGTTGATATGCAAGTCGATCGAACATTGATTGTTTTTTGTTATGTTGGCAGGTCCCCTGCAACTGCGGGGACATAAAGAACTTACTGTGATACCTATTTCATAATATCAAGCGTTTCTTTTGATTGATTGATGCTCAAATCATCTTGTTTTTCTTGCCCCACCCAATGCAAACCCGTCTACTAGGAACCCCTGCTTGTGGGTCCCAGGGGGGGAGCAGTTCTTTTTGTTTCTTTAAACAGTCCATTTGCACGAAGGAAGTCAAGTACAGTGACAAAGCAAAAACCAAAAAGTACTTGTCCTTATAAATCTTGAAGGAAAAGTTCCAAAAGGTGTAAGGTAGTGCCGACATCATATATATATATTCATGCCATCGCTTCTGAGTTGGAGGCCATCGCTAGTTAGTAGGTTGGAGGGCATAGCGGTCTTCAAGAAACGACAAAGCAAGTAGGGCCATGTGAACCGCCTCATTCAGTCTCAGCTTTGCCGCTTTGCGCTTTCAGGCCACCAGCAGGTTGCAAGTCGATGAGGATTCCGATTGGAGGCTGTCGAAAACGGTCGAAAACACATGCAAAATCCAATTAAATCTGATTCGAAGCGGATGCCAAAAACACTAGTCAAGTGCACTTCTTCCCTTTCATTAGACTGTTCAACCTCTCTTTCTAAAAGAAACAAGCACAGTTGACAAATAGACATTGTTTCGTGACGCTTCGCGACACGCTGCGCGAAGAAGCCAAAAAGCGATCGAGGCAGGACTCGCAGTCGCGGTCTCTGAAGATTTCGGGCGTGGATCCTGTGGCCGGACCTTTTGATGCACGACTCACTTTCAGGAGAAAAGCAGACGGAGTCGCCCTGCCTCTTTAAATTAAGTAGGCGCCTACTTCATGTAGCTAGTAGCTACTAGTACGCTACTATTTAGGACGCAGGTTAGCTCGCGCTACTCATTTGGGCTAGATTTTTAGGGAAACCTGGAGCACTTGAGCACTGCAAGTGGATGTTTGAGGAGAGCGAAAGAACAGGGCAAATTGCATCATGTATCAGTCGCTTGGCATCAGCGTTCGACGAGACACAGCGAAGCAAAAGAGCACTTCTGGGGTTGCCCGAGGTGCAACATGCTAGGACTTCCCCTCAAGGCTTCTCAATGTGAACATCAAACACCTCAGATTGATGCCTGAATGTGATGCCAATATGAAGGATTCTAGTTACTAGAAAGCTTTCTTCTTACTAGTAGCGATGGCCTCCACCCTAGTAGCGATGGCCTCCATCTAGTAGCTTCTAGTTACAAAAGGCTTGATCGCTTGTACCATGTGTTGTAATGAGAACATTTGTTGCACAAGAAACTTGACTGTGTTCCATCGTGTTCTTCAAGGAAAAGTAGCTCTTGCAAAAACAATCAATGCAGAGAAGGTAAGTACACTGCTGCACGTTCCTACGGAACGAAGCAAAAGGCTTTCGAAGGCCATAGAGACACCAGAAAAAGAAGTTGAATAGGTCTTGAGGAAATCTGAAGCCTACGACCCTGGCACGGTACTGCCAAAAGCTGGTAAGTTGCAGCAAAGCACTGGAAAATCTACCATGGATTTTATCAGCGTGTGTGGTGTTGAGACTGTCTTTTTCTACAAGTCTCCATCTCTAGCTACGTTCGTTCTCAATACTTGTTTCATCTTGTGTCTATCTTTCTTATTGTTCGTTTTGCGTTCCACCGTGATCCTGCTCGTCGCTCAATCTGCGGAGTGCACAACAACATTGTGGCGATCCTGACCTCTAAGCCCTGAAAAACTCCCTGGGCGCGAATCCTTGTTGTGCCATCAAGCACTTATTTTGCCAGCCATCTTGGTTTCGGGTTTCCAGCGTGTATTATATCTATAAAAATATGCAAGTGGAATCGTTCCTTGACATATCTAATTATACCTATATGTTTTGGACCTTTGAAAGGTCTAAGTGGTGTGAAGACACAGAGAGGAACGACAGAACGAAAACGATCGTGAATTCAATAAACGACAAGGTGAGGGGTGAGAAAGGAGGTGATTGAAACGAGAAGAATCAAGAGAAAAAAGCTAAACAATTGAGGCCTTTCTTGCCTTTAGACACTTTGTTTCTTGAGACTCTAGACACATCTTGTATTGCCTGAACTCGACAAGTAAAATAGGAAGCTACTAGGAACAAGTGCCTCGCTACTAGGAACAAGGGCCTTACTAGTAGTAACAATAAGAATGTAATTAGAATTTAATTACACACAGCTTGGCGATCGAACACGGTGCCTGCATCGAATCTGAATTGTTGGGTGCCTGGAGCTCAGGCGTACATCCAGCCTGATGAAGCAGATGCTTCGCAGAGTACAGGTGGCAAGAACCAATTGGCCAAACACATTTGTTTACTGCCTCCAACCTAATAGCGTCCCTTTGCTCCTAGTAGGAAGGCCCTTGCTCCTAGTAGCGTCCTTCTTCCTAGAAGCAATGGCCAAACACATTGTAACACGATGATGTCACAGGGTTTTACTCAAAGTAATTTTAATTGGATTCTAATTACTCTTAATTCTAATAGCTTCTTGTTACTACTAGTAAGGCACTTGTTACTAGTATCGATGCACTTGTTACTAGTAGCTTCTACCTCGCACTGCCACAGGTGTATGGGATGCGAAAAGGAATTTGCAGAAGTTTTTGTCGAAGACAAAGAGGCCTCGCTTGCCAGTGCCTTGGCCGTCTGTTCCGAAAGGAGATTAGACATCGCATTTCACATCACAAAGACCCAGTGAGACAAGTGAATCCAGTCTGAAAGAGGACCTTGTGTTTGCGTTCGAAGGTAGAAAGAACCCGTTCCTGTTGAAACCAGAAAAGCTGCTGGGCACACCAGACCTAAACCTTCGAATTAATTGTTACTACTAGTAAGGCACTTGTTCCTAGTAGCGAGGCACTTGTTCCTAGTAGCTTCATGCCACGAGTCGCTCCGAAAGCACGGAGAAAGCACGGATGTGTTCCATTCGGACTGGCTTTCTGCTTGGGGCACAGACCGCAGAGAACTCTTCTTCTCGTTTGGTTCCTAGTAGCGTCCGATGGCTCCTAGTAGTTTCTTTCCTTTTTGATATATATATATATATATGTATCCTTGATGTCCTTTTTTTCTTTAGACCTTTAGATCTAGTTTCTTTTCTTTCGCTTTTGGTCCTTCAGGACAGTGACGAGACCGGAACTGCGAACTGGATGGCCTTTCAGCTCGCAAGCAACACGTCGCTTCAAGTGGATTTTCACGTGGATTTCCGCGTTTCCAGGCAGGGCAATTGAGTAGACTACGTTACTTATGTTGATCATTTGCGTTTGAACGATTACACTTCTCACTATCCTTGTGTTTTTAGCTCCGCCGTCCAGGAGAATCCTGGATGCCAATGCCGAGAGCCGATTGCTGGAGGATGCCATGAAATCGAAATCCGAAGACTTCAAAACGTAGCGAGGACGAACAGTTCCGTGGTTTCCTTTCTGCACATGGTTCATCATGGTTCATGGTTCTATCCTTGACCTTCCAAAACAAACACAAAAAGTCGACAACTTCGAAGTGGGGTTGGAAAGCCGATTCAAGACCCGAATGTCCAAAGGTACCGGTCAGGTGCCAGTTTGGGAGCCCATTGTCCTTTCAAGTGGCAAGTGAAACTGAGTTGTGAAGACTGAAAGCACTAGCTATGGCCTCCAACCTAAGAGCGATGGCCTCCAAGTTACTAGCCTTCTTGCTCCTAGTAGCATGGCCAGGGCCAGGAGCCCGTAGTAGCTTCTTGTTCCTAATCAGAATAGACCTTGAGCAGGCCCCCCTTCAGAGCCTTTGCCACACATTTCTCATCAACAAAGTGAATTGTCGATGTATGTGGCCACATAGGAAGGAAGCCAGCAACAAAAATGTTAGCTGGTAGCAAGGACGCGGGTAAGACTCAGCTTCAGGGAAACTTCCCCCAGACACTGGGAGAAGCCACCTTGAAGACCCCTTGGCATTCTTTGTGACTATAGGTCTCTGTATCTACGCTAGAAAAGTGCCTTGGAACACTGAATGAGGTGCATCGCTAGTAGTAACAGGTGCATCGCTACTAGTAACAAGTGCCTTACTAGTAGTAACAAGAAGCTATTAGGAACAAGTGCATCGACACTGAATGAGGTGCATAAGTGCATTCGATGCTCGATGCTCGATGCCAGGCAAATGTCAGAGGTCTTCGAGCGCGACAGAACTCAAAGGTTCGAAAGGGCATCGCTACTAGGAACAAGGGCCTTACTACTAGTAATAAGAAGCTAGTAGAAACAAGAATTAGTAAATAGAATTAAATTAGTAATTAGAATTCAAATTCTTCAAAAACAACATGAAACAACTGCACTGAGGAATGGTCAACGCTACTAGGGCATCGCTATTAGGGGCTCCTGGCCTTACTACTAGGAGCAATGTTCGCTACTAGGAACATTTGGTAAATATGTTTTCCAAACATGTTCGTCCTCCCGAAGTACGCCCGAAGCACTCTTCCACACATCTTGCACACCCTGGAGGTTCAAGAGTGAGTTCAATGAGCTCAATGATGGAAGGACGAGTGGATCAAAGGGCAAAGCGGACGAAGCGGACGAAGCTCCCAGCGAGCTCGAGCGACGCGAGGCGCTACATCTGGCAGTGGCATCACTGTTGGGCGGCTTGGGAGTCTTCCGAGGGCGCCTCCTAGTGGCTTGGAGTGTCAGATTTGAGCGGATCGCTATTGGACGGCCGAGTGTCGGTCCGTGTTTTACAACCTGTTGGGTCAATCGAGTGCCCAGAGAGAGGTTCCAGAGGGTGTCATGTTGTAGGTTTAGATGCCATTGACGGAAGTGGCATGTGGCCTTGGGGTGGCAAGTGTCCTTAAGCTACTAGTAGCTAGAAGCTACTAGGGGCTCCTGGCATCGCTACTAGGAGCAAGGACGCTACTAGAGGCTCCTGGCCTTACTACTAGGAACAAGAAGCTACTAGGAACAAAGGGCATCGCTACTATGAACCACATGCATGGTGCGAGCGCTGCTTCAAGGAAGCTCAGGCGAGGGTAGCTTCCTTGAAGAAGCGTGAGCTATGCAGCTATCCTGCGTCCATATGTAGGAGCGAACTTCTCCTAGTAGCTTACTAGTCGCCCTTAATTAAGTAGGCAGTCTCTACTTAATTACTTATTTAAATAAGGAGGCAGGGCCACCAACTAGAAAAAAGAAAAGTAGAAGCTTAAGAGGTTGCTACCTGGCTAGTAGCTACCGCTTGCTACTTGCTACCTCACGGCCTATCCGCCTCCGGAAACGGGTCGTATGTCGAGGGTCCTTCGATCGCGGGCCAGAAAGCCACAAGGTGTCCTCAGTTTGAGGGATCAAAGCATGTTAATAAGTGAATTCCGAAAGAAAGACAAAGGTCTTGATGTCTTAATGTTAGTCTTAATCAGGTTCCCAGAAAATCCAGATCAAATTTGATTTAGTATTCCAAAATGCTCCGTGAATAGAATCCAATTCCCAGTCCAGGTCCATAATTGTAATTCAATTGCAAAAAACATACTATGTCCAAAATGAAGGTTCCAGACAACATGGCTGCGGATTCTGTTCATGCACACACAGGAGCTCTGAGGACAGAAAAGAGAACCACTCTGCCACAGCGACTCCAGAAAGAGCTAAATTATCCGTAAATTCTAAGAGGTCTTTATCATGCAAAAGGGGTCTTCAAACAAGCTTCTGTTTGCATGGCGGGGAGATCTCCTTGAATACCAACATCAAACCAGCCCGACGATCCCGACACACTGGCCGTGCCCTGCAATGCTCTGTGTTTCGCGCGCTAAACTAGTAGCGATGCACTTGTTACTAGTAGCTTCTTGCTCCTAGTAGCGATGGCCTCCACGTAGAATCGGTTTGTTTCTAGTAGAATTGCGAGGAGCTACTAACAAGGACGCTACTAGGAGCAAAGGGCATCGCTACTAGGAGCAAGGACGCTATTAGGGGCTCCTGGCCGTACTACTAGGAACAAGGACGCTAGTAGCTTCTTGCTACTAAGCTAAGACGGCGCCATAAAGAAGCCGTCAAATGCCAGAAGAGCTAAAGAGGTTCTCGCCAAAGACTTGCTAAAATTTGTTTAAATCGATTTTGAGGGGTGCAACAAGTAGGACCTTTATATAGTTTGATTGTTCCTCGCTGTTAGGTGTGTTGCATTCTTTGAGGTCAAGACCTCTGAAACCTCGCTGCAAAGACTTCCCAAGAAGGTGCTTTTCACAGCTGTGCCTTCGAGAAGTTTCTTTCCAAGAGGCTGGCAGTCGCGTCGGGTGCGCGCAATGAAAGGAAACCTGATAGGATTGGCCTCCAACCTACTAGCGATGAAAGGAAACCAATAGGACGCAATCCTTTAACAAGCTGAACCTTTACGGCGTTGAGATGATGCGAGACATGTGTTGGAAAGAGGAGCGAGAGAGAGAGAGAGAGATGGGTTGGACCAAGACGTGAAGAAGACACGAAGGTTTTGCTACTAGTAACAAGTGCCACGCTACTAGGAACAGGTGCATCGCTTCTAGTAACAAGTGCTTTACTAGTAGTAACAGGAAGCTAGTAGTAACAAGGGCATCGCTACTAGTAACAAGGAAGCTACTAGGGGCTCCTGGCCTTGCTACTAGGAACAAGAACGCTAGTAGGTTCTTTGCTTGCTTGGGAGAAACCATGTTGGACCAAGACGTCGCTTGAGCAACTTTGAGGTTTTCTTTGGGATGAAGGCTTCCATGGCCTAATTCTGTGTCGGTGGCACCCCAGAATCTTCTTCGCCTTTCGGCAGCAACTAGAGTGTAAGGCACTTGTTACTAATAGCTTCTTGCTCCTAGTAGCGATGCACTTGTTTCTAATAGCTTCTTGTTACTACTAGTAAGGCACTTGTTACTAGTAGCTTCAAAGACCGTTCCTAGTAGCGTCCTTGCTCCTAATTCGTCATTTTGGCATTCCCAATCAGGATGTGTTGGCGCATTGGTTGGAGCTTCAAGAGCCATCAGGCTGGATCCCACGTGAAGTGCCTTTGGGGTCGGAGCAGGAAATCCGAGTGCCACAGCAATTCTTGCCACAGGACGCCGTCACGCGCCGTCACTTCGTGATATCGTGGGTTCGGCTACACGTCATATACCTTATTCTAACGGGTAGGACAAGAACGCCATTGTTATAGTAGGCTGGAGGCCATTGCCCACAGTATGCGGGGGGGAAGGTAGGAGAAGAAGGCATTCAAAGGATGCTAAGAAAGGAAGGGGTGGGCACCCCCGCCCACCTCCCAGCCCCACCCCTCGCTTCAAAGGCCATGCGTGGGCGAAGCTGCCAATGATTGTTTCTAATAGCTTCTTGTTACTAGTAGTATGGCCAGGAGCCCCTAGTAGCGTCCTTGCTCCTAGTCGCGATGCCAGGAGCCCCTAGTAGCGTCAGGTTGGAGGCCATTGCTATGAGGTTGGAGGCCATCGCAACTAGGGAGGCCGTGGAGGCCATCGCTACTAGGTGGAGCCATTGCTGCTAGGGTGGAGGCCATCAATATTTTAATGTAAACTGCGTCTGCCACATGTTCATGTGACGCCAGGCGGCTTCAAGCGTTTGAAGCGACCACTCAAGGTTGCCACAAGGAACCCGACCTCCACTCAACTCACGAAAAGGAAATGAGACCAAGAAGCTACTAGGGGCTCCTGGCATCGCTACTGGGAGCGTGGATGCTACTAGGAACAAAGGTTCAAGTCCAAACAGAAGATCGGAGTAGAGGTCTAGGAGCAAGGACGCTACTAGGAGCAAAGGGCATCGCTACTAGGAACAAGGGCCTTACTACTAGTAACAAGAAGCTAGTAGAAACAAGAATTAGTAATTAGAATTAAGTTGAATTAGAACTAAGTAATGAGCAAAGAAATCTACTAGGACCGTGCGCACGCGCCGGGGGGGGGCAGGAACAAGGACGCTACTAGGAGCAAAGGCCGTCGCTACTAGGAACAAGAAGCTACTAGGTGGAGGTCACACTATAGCCCGCAGGGGTGTCTATTGGTGAGCTTTTGTAAAGCACGATTGCAAGGGTTTACATTCGTTCTCAGACCCGCTTGGACAGGGGAAGCCTGCAAAGTAGAAAAGGTGTCTATAACAAATTCTTTCCAGAATGTGTTTCTTTCAGTCGGGATGTTCTTGAATCGGCCTATTCTTGTTGAGTCCATCCAGGACCCTGACATTGCAAATCCACCAAGTCTTCTATTGCCCTTGGTTTGGCTTTTGGATGCAGATGATGAGCTTGTGGAATCCTTGGCACGGCAAAGCAAGATGAGCTCGACAGACTTCAAGTGCCAAGACTCACAGGGACTAGTCACAAGAAGCTACTAGGGGCTCCTGGCCCTACTACTAGGAACAAAGACGCTACTAGGGCATTTTCGGTGACACCGTTGGTGACATTCGACAATTGTGATGGACTCCTTCAATGTAAAGTACTGAGACGATATGAAGATATCTTCAGGTAATATCGAATGAAGTCATTAAAAGGTTTCGCGAAACACATCCGAAACCTGTAGTCGTCAGGGTTTAGAATTCACTAAGTTTTTCTTGGTCTTCTTCTTCTTCTTCTTTAGCGCACAGGTCCGCCAGTAGGTCAAGCCAGTCAGCACGGTTGTCAGCCGCTATAGCTTAGCTCACTGGTGAGGCGAACTCCTCTTGAGTTCTGGGGCTTTCAAGGCTCAGTATTCAAGTTCTGCTTATATACCTTGAGCCCTGGAATGACATAAACTTGAAATTGAACTGCCTGGCCCTTTCAAGTTCTTCGCAACATTTGTTGCTTGTGTTTCCAAAAAAAAAAGGAAACTGGAATCGCTTTGATCCTGTTGGTTTCTTTCGTTTTGAGTGTCCGTTCAGCATGCGTTTCTTGCTTGTGCTTTGCTGTTGAAAGCAAGTCCTGGACCGGAATGCCGTCAATCGATTTTGAGGAAATCTTACTGATCCCGGACCTAATGGTGATGGCCTACAACCTAAGACCGATGGCCTCCAACCTAGAAGCGATGGCCTCCAACCTAACAGCGTCCTTTTTTAAAAACATTGCTGATCCCCTTAATGGTTTCAGGTGTGGGTACAAATGTCCCACATACTCAGGAACTGTTTACAACAATCTTCATGAAAGGAAACGAGATGGAAAGGGTTGGAACAGCATGAGTTTTGCTGAAAGCCCAAATATAGCGTTTGCCCGTTTTTTTCTACTGAAACCGAGGCACTTGGTGTTGTCCTTCTCCGAAAAAGCCTTTCCGCGCTTGACGAGATGGTACGCTTGGTTGGAGCGAAGCCAGCGATCGGACCATCGCGCTTCGTGCTTCCGATGGAAGGGACGAACTGCGGCGCATTGCTTGGCCAGTGGTTTGGACGATTATCCACGGGGGCTCTACGTGAATTCCGACGAATGCCATTTGGATCTGCATTCCTGGATGCTGTTCTTCGCCAGGACAGACAGAGACGAATGCGGAATCTTTAAGTTCTGATCTAAGTCCTCCGTTGAATTTAAGTTGAACTGTCAATTTCAATATAAATCAATGTCACTTCTATATAGTTTGTTCATTTTCAGGTTCAATTCAGTTATAGTTGTACTGAAAATTCTAGATCAAACATTTCAAATATACTTCAATTGCAACGTAGTGTTGTTGAAGTTTAGTTCCAACTTAGTTGATTCTATTTCTATGTTGATTCCAGTTTAACATATTACTAACGAGTCAGTTTAATCCAGTCTGTTCTATTGTTAGTTGAACTGAAATGCAATTTGATTCGGACTTAGTTGGATTCTAATTCAATTTGCTTAAAGTCTTCTTTGTTTAAATAGTATTCTAATTTAGTTGAAATCTAAGGTACGGTATGCCTACTTAACGCAAATCTGAAATCAATTTAGTTCTATTTTGATGGTTCCTTATGATTAAGTTATAGTTTGGTTTCATCTTCACTCAGTTCCAATGCTAGTCGAACTGAATCCAAATCTTTGTTCTGATCCTAACTTTGGTGAATCCTAGTTTTTGTGTGCTTCAATGTTAGTTGAATTTTAGTTATGACTTAATGTTAGTTCAGTTCTCATTCCAAGCTAATATAGTTCAATTATGTCAGCCTCTTATTGATTCTAGCTGAATGTATGTTTACTTCCAACTTGATTTAGACCTAACTTAGTTTCATTCTAGTTTCATTCGGAATCTGTCCTTGCCAAGCTCGGACAGTCTCAAGCAGAGTGTGCAAATTGAGAAGACAAACAAAATACAAAACATGATTAACTAAATGTTAACCTGAGTGTTTTCACTGTTTTTGTACTTTGCTTCAAACCTGTCTGTCAAATTCCGATCTGTCAATTATCTCCATCAGTCAAGCTGAAGAAATCTGCATCAGTCTTGCACCCGACAACTACGAGAAAGGCCAAAAGAAGTTGTTCTTTATTCCCCGAATGCGTGGCGAACGGTTCTCGTTTTCTGGTTCTGGAGGTGGGATGCTTGCAACCGTTTGCAACCATCTGCAGGCCCTCCCATTGGGGAAAGCTTTTGGAAGAGGGTGTCGGATGGAAGCATGAAGTGTGACGTTCGAGTGAAATAGCGCAGAGACCTAACATGTTCAAGTGTGGAGGATGATTTTGCTGCGCAGGTGGCGTTGGCAGGGCTCTTTTGTGGTGTTGAACGCCGCTGTGCCAGGATTTGCTCTTGAGGGCTTCGAAGCTGTGTTGTCGAGACAAGTTTAGGGCGATGTTTGGTGCAGGTGAATGTCGCTGCGCTATTGAGAATGGCGTGTTTGCCGGTGCTCTTTCGAGGGTTTGGATTGCAGACCTGCTTGGCACGGCTGTGCGATTTGTTCGTTTTGGAGGCTAGATGCGTGTCTTTTGGAGGAAGCCTGGCATGACGCCCCAGAGTAGTGTGAACTTCGTGGAAGCGTCTCCGACAAGAGTGTCCCGCACTGCGGCGAAACTACGTTTGCGACTTCGCTGCGCCATGTGCTTTGGCGCTGTCTCGGTGGAAAGTGTGTTTACGTTAGGAACAAGAAGCTACTTGTAGCTCCAGGCATCGCTACTAGGAGCAAGAAGTTACTATTAAGAAGAGTGTCTCCCCAGAATGTCCGTCAAGAGTGTTTTCGGCGAGTGCCAAGTAAGTACAGTAACAGTGTCAGACTAGGTATGGTTGTCAGTTGATTGTGTTTTCGTACGTGTGCATTCGTGCTCATGGGTTACACCATCGTTTTTCTTCAGAAATTCTTTCTTTACGTAAGCAGAACGGTGCACATGCACGACTTCAAGGCCGTTGCCTGAGCCTAACATAAAATTGGTCCCAATTGGTCCAGTGCACCCTGGGTCATACAGATTTTTGGCAGAGATATCGCTACTAGAAACAAGGCTCGCTACATAATATTAGCTCCAGAGAATATCCACATCTTGCGTACGAGTAGCGTGTGCTAAAGTGGATGTTCGAAAACCGATCGAACGCGGTGCCATCCCCAGGGAAGAACCACAGGAGCATCCGGATCCTCGGTCTCCCTGCGGTTGAGTGTCCCCCAGAGAAAACGGTCCAGCCACGTCGCTCACGGCTGAGAACTGTGTCCTGATGGACCCATCGGAGAAAAGCGAAGGAACATTTTTTCGTTCAATAGACTCACAACCAAAAATACGACAAGTGGAACGGATCGCGCGGCACAACCAGCACCTGTTGGAATATAACAAGATCGTCTAAGGACCCAAAAATCAAGAACAATAAAGGAAATAGGAAAGTTAAAAACAATAAAACGAAAACGTAGAAAAAATATGTTTTTCTTTTCACACCACGCGCGTTACCCGTACTAGCTACTTTTAGCACCCTAAAAGCCTCGACTCTTGAAATGCAGCTGGGCAGTGTGACCTTTGCGACACACTGAACACACCTGTCCCACGGTCCCAATTCTGTGAGAACAAGAAGAACCAACGGCAGAAGGAGAAGAACACGGACATGATACGAGTCAACAAAACTAGAAGGGTAAACAACCGAAGGGTGAACAAAAGGCGGAACAAAAAGTGGTCATTCCCTTTTGTATCACACAGTTTTCTTGGGGTTGCGCTGTGTATGCCAGGCACAAAATACATGAGTTTTGTTTTGAGTTGTTTGTTCAAAGTCTTGGACTTTCTCTGGAGCCTTGGGTTGAAGGTAAGTGTCTGAGACAGGGAGAGGAGGGACTGAGTGGATAGAAGTGGATAGATAGCACTTGCTTGGTGCCACGTTGCTTGGGGGAGAAGTTTTGTTTAGTGCTTTCGGAGACAGGCATGTAACTGAGTTTCACGTCCAGCGTGTGATCTCCACACAGGACCTTGGAATCTCTTTGTGGCAAGTGCTTCGTCGAAATGCAACCACGTAGTGTGTGTGTGTGTAGTGTACGAAGGCACGCACGGAGACGCATTTGATCTCAACATATCGACCAACCCTTTGTTACTAGTAGTGATGCCAGGAGCCCTAGTAGCGTCCTTGCTCCTAGTAGTAAGGCCAGGATCCCCTATGAGTTTCTTGTTCCTACTAGTTTCTCGCATATATTCAGGGTCTCCAACCCAATAGCGATGGCCTCCAGCCTGTCCTCCAACATGAAAAAGGAAGGCCTCCGTGTTACACGGAACCTGTGTTTTGTTCTGCATACTTCCTCAACCTCCCAGACGTTCTCGTCAGGCAGCAGGCAGTGCAGGCAAGCATGTGTTCTTTACACAGAAATTCGAGCTATCCAAAGTTATTCATCGTCCTTATCTCTTGAATGAATGCTAGTAGGGGAAGGCCATCGCTATTCGGAACAAGAAGCTACTGGGGGCTCCTGGCATCGCTACTAGGAGCAAGAATGCTAGTAGGTTGGAGGCCATCGCTTCATCATCCTCATCTCTTTGTCTCAGCCCTGCAGTTGACAGAAAGCACAACACCTTGGTGGCTCGCGCTGCTTCCAAACTGAGGCTCAACTTGACGTCACAAAAGTGGTCAACTCGGGTTGCAAAGCTCAACCAGACATTGTTCGAGGTCTTTTTCCAGGCGGTGCCCGGCTGTTTCGATGGAGTGGTGTAGGCCATTTCAATGAAGGCCATTGCTAGGGCAGAGCCCATTTCGGACAGGAACGAGCATGGGTTCGGGGAAGTTCATTTTGCTACTAGTAACAAGTGCCTCGCTACTAGTAACAAGTGCCTTACTAGTAGTAATAGTAACAAGAAGCTACTAGAAACAAGTGCCTTACTACTAGTAACAATAAGAATGTAATTAGATAGCAGCCGTGCTGCGGCCGTGCTGCTTTGCCGTATCTGAAAACATGGGTCGGTGCTCCTAGTAGCGATGCCCGGGTTCCTGGTCGGCGCTTTGACCGCCTCCGTTTCGCCGTTCACTTCGCAGGGGGAAATTCTGGCTGATTTCATTGGACGGCAGCCAGTCTCCAAGGTGGGTTGCCCTCTTTGAAGAGTGCACGAATAGAAGATTTAGAATGCAACTAGTAGCGATGCCAGGAGCCCCTAGTAGCTTTCTTGTTCCTAGCAGCGAGTCCCTTTGTTACTAGTAGCTATTTGCTTCTAGTAGCTTTCTTGTTCCTAGTAGAATATTTCAGAATGTCAAGGTTCTTGAGATGAACCCATTCTTTCGACATATGCTGTTTTTTGCTCAAATGTGAGTGATCAAGTAGGTTGGAGGCCATCGCTATTAGGGTGGAGGCCATTGCTAGTAATTGAAATTAGATTGGTTTTAAATCTAATTCTATAGTAGCTTCTTGCTACTAGTAGTACGGCCAGGAGCCCCGTTCGTAGCGATGCCCTTCGCTTCGCTTTCTTCGTTTCAACTCGCAACACTCGAAGCAGACCAGGTCGGAACGAAAACGACGATCTTGGTGACGCCACCCTGGCGTTCTGATGGCCGCTGCGGACCCCAATTCCCTGCGGAAGCTGGAACCCCTGGAGAATGCGATCCATATGGAGGTGAGGAGAGCTTCCTTGGGGATCGTTTCAATGGGAATCATTTCATTTGTAGTGTTGTTTTGTTTAATAGACTTCCTAGTAACTAGAAGCTTCCTTGAGGTGGGGAGAGGGTGAGAGATGAGCGACGAGAAGGAAGATGCAGTACAAGGAAGTTCTGAGAACGTTCTAGGAGCAAGGACGCTACTAGGAACAAAGGGCATCCTGGCCCTACTACGGGCAAGAAGCTACTAGGGGCAAAGTTCCCTGTCCAGCTACCGTAGTGAATCCTCTACCTCTCCTGCTTGCTGCAGGTGCCGCTTGCTGTTCGCCCTCGGGGTGGTGCGGTGGCTCCGCCGACTTCTGCGACTGCCCGGGCTGTCGACGCTTCCAAAGACTCGAGGAACGAGCGCAACGCGCCAAGACGGAGCCTCGGACCTTGGACCGAAAAGAAAGCAAGGCCTGCTAGTAGCAAGGCCTCGAACCTACTAGCGATGGTCTCCACCTAGTAGCGATGCCCTTTGCTCCCATTCAATTCTACTTAAAGTTAGATTCGTTCGTTTTGATTCTAGTTCTGTAGTAGCTTCTTGTTTCTAATAGCGTCCTTGCTCCTAGTAGTACGGCCAGGAGCCCCTAGTAGCGTCCTTGTTACTAGTAGCTACTGGTTTTGGAGTTGCATGGAACACCAGCTGATGGTCCTTCGTCTCACCACGTGGTTGCCCTGTCTCTTGATTGGCAACCTGTGGCATGTGCTCGGTGAACCTTCGCTTGTCCCAGCTGTCAACTGCATCTGTCTGAACACGGCAAGAAGCAAAGGACAGACCTTTCTTATCCTTTCTGCCTGTTCATTGTGTTACTTGTTTCTAACAGCGATGGCCTCCAATTGAGTTTCTGAGTTGTCCACAGGCCAAGCTTTTGACTTCGGAAATGCAATGCTATGTTTCTGAATGCACACGCTTATGCATTGGTTGAAAAGGCACCCGGGTGCATGTCTGAAAATACACTGTGCGTTTTTGGTAAAAAGGCAGAGTTCGAGCTTGGACATTCAACGGCATGTTTCTGAAAGGGGCCCCTTGTTTTTGGTGTTGAACAATGATAACACATTTGATTTTCTGAAAAGCACAACACCGGCAAGTTTTGGAAGGACAGGCTTGTGCTCGCGCACAGGTGGATTTCTGACAAAGCACAATGGTATGTGTTGGAAAATGTTGAGTTGCACCTTGGAAAACACCCCGTCATAGTTGTGAAATACACAGTCTTTGTCCATTGTATGCTTCTGGCAAGCCAGAGCTGTGACTGTGAAAGTACAACGTCATGACATGTTTCTGGGAACACATGCTTGTATCGGTCGACATACATGCATTTCCAAAAAGCAACGATGTGTTCTTTTGAGACGTCCGAGGTTTGCTTTTTTGGCATTTTACCGTCATGTGTTTGCCAATGGTTGCTTTAAAGAAACCTGTTGCGCGAAGGTTGTTTGGGTCGATGTTGGTTCAATTTGGGGTGCTTCGACCTTTTATACACGCCTTCGATATGCTTTTTTCATGCGTTTTTCCGATGCTGTTCGAAAAAATAAACTATTTTGGAATTGTAAAGTCTGACATCCTGAGGCTTCAGTGCATTCGCCTCACTTGGGATATGTATCCTTGTTTCCATTGGTCCTGGGACATCTTCCATGTGATCATCCGATGGCGCAACGACTGATTGCGGCCTTGCAGCCACCAAGTCGTGGAAGTCACAAGGTGAGGCGGCGAGCGAGGCGAAGCGGCAAACGGACGGCGTTCGAAGCGTTTGCAAAGGAGCTTCTTTTTTTTGCCCGGGGTAGGCCGTATAGTGGAAGTAGGAGGCAGCTAGTAGGTAGCGCGCGGGGGGGGGGTAGGCCGCGGAGGTAGCTAGTAGCGAAAAGTAGCTACGGTTACGCTATTAAAATATGTGGAGGGCGGTCCAGGGTTAATCCTCGTGGAGGTCGTGTATGGTTCCTATTCTGTCCGTATGTTTGGGGGCAACGGGCGGCTCCGCATATTTAAATGTGCAGTTGCTTCATCATTCACAACAATAAAAAGACAGCAGGATTGCCAAATCGCCAAAGCCCCACAAAGCGCCCAAAAAATGCTCACTAGGAAAAAAGAGAAGCAGCAGGATTGGCAAAGCGCCAAAGCCCCCACATAGCCCCACATGGTGGTAACCAGTCATGTAGCCACACCCCTCCACTAAGCCCGCCACATCCACATAACCCCACCAGGCATTCACGCAGTCGCCAAAACTTGCGCCCGCCAGAAAAAACCGAAGCCAAAGCCTTGCACTACAGAACCCTTCGTGAAAACTTTTGGGTACCCCAACCTGCGCGTGGCCTGCCCCGCCTCTGCCGGGCGGCGGCCTTGCTGGCCTGGCGCAGCAGCTGAAAGCCTGCCAGGCCGCCCATCGAAGCACATTGATTGTCAAGATGGCGAAACCCAAGAGACCTCAGATTCCATGGGCTTCAGCTCAGCCACATGTTGCAGTCGACAGCTTGATTGATTGGGCAATCATTGCGGATAGACAGAAATGGAGGGAGATGGTGACGGACTCTTCTTTGGCAACCAAGCTGGGTCCTGAGTGGGCAAGCGCACGAAGCAGGATGAAAATAGCAAAGCATGTTGCATGTTTTTAAACCTTTCCAGAACCCTGCAGAGGAGGTGGAGTCCGGGCAGTGAAGATGCCAACACTGACAGCATTGCCGGCACTTCTCTCACAATGGGGCAGATGCCGACAGCAGCCTTTCCTTCAGCTGGCCAACGCGAGGCCTTGGATTTTCTCAATCCACGCGCTTTGCAGCACCAAGTGGAGGGTGCACGTTGGCGTTTTTCTTTGCTGCCCTTTACTCCTCCAGGTGTGAGGGCCAAGTGTGCGTGGTGAGCCCCGCCAGCTTGGTGAGACACTGGCGCGCAGAGATGAGTGAGTGGATCCGTGAAGACTTGCGCTCCAACTTTGTGTTTTCTTCCTACGACCAGTTCTCCGGCGACGATTGGCCATTGCTTGCGCTTGACTACAGAGAGATGGAAGCGAGTTCAAGGACCGTTTCAGACCTACTCCAGACAGGGTGGGTTGAGGTCGCATCAGAGACCTCCGCAGACGAAGCAGACCTACTGCTACCGCTTGATGCGCACTGATTCAGCAGAAGAACATGTGTTCGCTACTCAGCAGAGCAAGACGGACCTTGCGAGAACCATCAATGAGCAGCAGCGCTTTGAAGAGCGTATGCCGAGCAACCCACTGGTGAAGAGAGTCCTGTCAAGCTGCCAAGCCGGAACGAAGGCCAGGTATTGTTTAAACTTACGATGTACCTGCTATATACGATTTAGGTGAAAGAGGTTTTGGTTTACGGATATACGCAACGAGAAGAATAAGTGTCAGAGCTCACTTGTGTTAGCCACCAAGAAGTTCTACCCCGAGTGTGACGCACGGCTGTTGGGAAAGCCTTCTTTAGCCGTGGAGCCTTGGCCTTCATTCATTACCCTCCACATAGGACCCTTTTCAACACGCAAGCCGCTCCATGCAAGTTCAAATCTAAAGCAGCTCCCACCACATAGGCACATCGACCAGGCCTTGATCCAAGAGGCGTGTCTATCCGCCAGCCGGTTGGAGCTGCAGGAGCCGCACGAGTCTTCGGACGATGAGCCCATCGCTGATGTAGCGGCGCAGGTAAATTCGGACGCTCAGCGGTCAGCGCCTTGGATTCGCAGCACCTTGCCTAAAGTCATCCCAGTGTAGACGGAGAAGGCCACTATCAAATCGCACAGACCAAATCGCACAGACTTCTTGGGTTGACCGAGTCCACGTAGAAAGTTACTCAGGACTGCTGGTAGGGGCTGGTGCCAGGTTGTTGAGGGCTCGATGTAGGAAGGGCCAATGTCACGTCAAAAAGCCACAGGTGTTTGAGGACAGAGGCTTGGCAGGGTGTCCATACAGAGGCAAAATAAGACAGCTACGCAATTGCAGGGCGCAGGCTTAGCGTGAAAGGCACGGCGTAGAAAGAGCGCGCAGGCGCAAAGCCATCTAAGGATCCTCACAACGGTTGTGTTTTTGCATCCATGTAGGAAAGGCCAATGTCAAACCAACAAAAGTGGATAATTGGAGGGGGGTATATCCATATAGAATGTCGGGCAGCCGCTATAGAGGGAAGATCATGTGACATATTTGTCCACATACAGGGCGCGCGTGAATTGCCTACGCAGGCGAGAAAGGTGAAGGCAAGCGCAAATAAAAAAGACAAAAAGTAGAAGGAGAAGGAAAGGGGAACGAAGAAGAAGAAAGAAAGGGAAAGGGAAAAGGAGAGAAAAGGAAGAGAGCAAGCAGAAAAGGATATGAAAGAAAAGGAAAGGAACAGAAAAGGTAAAAGAAAAGGAAAACTAGGAATCCAGCAACGAAAAGCATTAACGCATACGTAGGGTGGTTGTGCCTTTACCAAACCAATGAAACGCTGACGACGTCGCAGACGATGTGCCCTGCTGTAAACATGTTTCTTCCTACCGATTTTGTCTCTAGCTTCTTCTGTCGTTCCACCTCATTCGAGCGTCACCGCGCTAATCTTTGCACATGCTCTGCAGTCAGGAGTCTTGGGCAAAGGTATGCTCACAGTCTCGGACCGGTGCCCCATGAACGAGTCGCCCCATGAACGTAATTCGTTGTGTATTTCCTTTCACCTTCTCTTGCATCGCATCCCCTTTCGTTGCTCTTCCTTGTCATTCGCTTCTTTTTTCGTCTTGTTTTTCGGCGCGTCTTGTGGGCTGTTTCCTGTCTAGGAGGGTTGGGCGGCCTGCGCGCCCAATCGGGTGGACAAATCCTCTCGATTCGCCCGAGAACTGGGGCGGCCCGTTTGGAGCGTTGACTGGCTGACGCTCAAGACAAAGCCAGGGTATGGATGCTGCGCGATTCCCTTTCACGCTTTGCTGAACAGCATGAATGGCCAAAGTGGGACCAGCTGAAGCTGCACTTGCTCCGGCAAGGGCGAAGGAAGAAGGCACAGGGCAGACTTGCGTGAAGGTGTGCAGCTGGGACCAGCGAGCTGGGACCAGCGAGCTGGGAACCACTCGCTCGCAAGGCTCTTGCGCCGCCTCGGCGATGACGACGGCCCGCCCGTGCTTGCAGGCTTTGTGGGCGAAGGCGAGCAGGATTTTTTTGCGTCAGGGATTGAACAAGAACGCCGCCACATACCCTGGACACGAATTACGCGTTCGTCTAAATGTTGGGAGGGGCAAACGCCGCAGCACAAGCAATCTTAAAGTTAGGCCACGGGAAATTGCAACGCTGGAGACATTTCACAAAACGAACGCACTATCATATGTTCTTTTGCGAGACCGTTCGAAAATACCCAGTTCAATCCACATATGCAAGAAACTGGGACTACCTAATTTTTGGACTGCGCTTTGAAGGCATGTCCCACGGCTGCAGTGTCTCGGCTGTGGGAAAAAGGCTTGGCGCCCGGGCGGTTTTTCAATTTTCTATATACTAGTGAAATTTGCTCCTTGAAATACATATCAGCTGACGAAAGGCCTGTTAAGCGGCCAGACGCCCAAAGCCTTGTTCTCGAGGCTGGCCCTCTTGGCCACGCCGTCTCAAACGTTGCCGGCGCCAAACCTGCTGGTCAATGTCATCCGGACCACGTGTTGGGGACGGCTGGGCCAAAGTTGCGCGGGCCATTACTTTTTGCGCGCTCGTGAATTTTTCCTGGTTTTCGATTGTTCAACCCAATTGTATCAGGCCGGGATATTTTTTTTTGGCGAACCTTACGCTTGACCGCGCTTGCCCTAAACAATGGGTCTTTTGGACTGCGAGCACGATCTGGAGCACAACCGCATCATCTATGACCCTCCCCAATTTCGGTCCGTTTTGCAAGAGGGGGCCGTTGGCAGGAAGGGTCATGTTGAATCTAAACTAGGTAGTGATAAGGTAGGGTCTCATATATATATATATATGTGTATCGAACGCATAAAGGTAAGGGTGGGGTGAAGTGGCAGGGCAATAATCCTGACAGAGGAGAAAACATAAATGTGAGGAGGTCTGGTCTTGCGTCTTGGGCGGATGCCGCCACTTTCCATCAGTCTCCCAGTGCTTCGAATCCTTGTCGCTATACTTTAAGGCATGGAGACATCGAAAACATAAATGCAAAAATCGGTGTCCCAAGGTAAAGACACTGACAGAGGAGACGTAAAACGAGCTGCTTTTTAGAAAACAAGCGAGAAACAATGAAAATATCACGCAAAAGAAAAAGATAGAAAAGGCCAAAAAAGAAAGTCAAAGAAAAAGAGAAGAGAAAAGAAAAGAAAAAGACAAACAGAAGGAAAAGGGAAAACAAAAGAAAGAGCAGAGAGAACATATCAAAAGTTAAGATTCCTAACTTATGTAACCGGCGGCGAAAAAGAGCTAGGAAAAGAAAAAAGTGAAAAACCCTTGAAGGAAGGAGGAATGCTATTGACACTTGTTCCTCTCCACTGGGCAGGCCACAGACCCTCCAGCGCATGATAGCCTGGCTAAACTTCTAAGGGCGCGTAACAGAGTTTGCTTTCATTTCAGGGGCTGGGTTTCTTGACCCTCCGACTCATTTTCCATGTTCCGTTGGTGGGTGAACAGAAGCAAGCTTTGGATTCAACAAATGCAGCGCCGCACTCCGATAGCCAAGAACATGGAGGCTGTAAGCGCTGCATATGATGACAACCCTTTGGGCCCACAAGCGCCGGCTGACACTTGGATTCAGTTTAGTTGAATTGTGGAAACTATTTGAACAAATCGCACAAGGCCCCTGTAGGGAGGAGGGCCCCATAAACAACCTCACCTGCAAAAAGTCCACGGAAAGGAGGCTCCACGTAAGGAGGGTCCCCATAAGCAAGATGGAGGGTCCATGTAAAGGTAGGGTCCACGTAAGAGAGTGGTCCACGCAGCGAGGGTCCACGCACAAATGGGTCGACGTAAGGAAAGTCGATTTAGAGAATCCAGCTAGGTAGGGTCCATGTATGGGGGGTCTAGGGGAGGAGGGTCCGCGTAAGGAGGGCCATGATATCAGGTTGTGCATAAGGAAAGTTGTTATGAGACCGTCCATCTAGCTAGGTCCACGTAAGGGGGCCCACGTAAGGGGCTCCACGTATGGGGGTTTCAGACAAGGTGAGTCCATGTAAGTAGGGTTCACGTAAGCAGGGTCCACGTAAGAGTTTCCACATATGTGGGGGGCCATGTAAGGGGGGTCCCTGTAAGCAGGATCCGGTAAACGGCGGGAGCAACTACGATTCTCTTAAGGCAGCCAAATGCATCGTCATTTACTCAGTAAGTATTATCTAGTGAAGCCACAGCCAAGGGAACGGGCTTGGGATAATCAGCGGAGGAAGAAGACCTTGTTGAGCTTGACTCTAGTCCGATTTTGTGAAATGATTTAGGAGATTGCTTTTCCGCATGTTTTAATGGCTGGTGGTCCCCGACAGATCCTTCACGGAGGTACACTAAAATACCTATTTGGTTATTTAAAAAACTGTTTTTTTGTAGCAACCGTACTACTTGGGATGCAGAAACGCTCGCACTAATGAGTTGGCCCCTAGATTTGTTGGGAAACTTAACTAATAGCGATGGCCTCCAACCTCACTGTTAACTGGACCATGTGGATATGTCATTCGGCGATGGTCGAATTCGGCGATGGGAGTAGGTTGGAGGCCGTCGTTAGCAGGTTGGAGGCCATTGCTATTAGAAAGAAAAGGAAAAGGAAAAAATGTCTAATATAGTTTGCTCTTAGTTTGGAGTTCAACCTACAATGGCCTCCAACCGGCTAGCAATGGTCTCCAACCTCATAGACTCATAGTAATGTTGCATAGACGCAAAATAGGAAGAAGCCGGAAGCACATGGGCCTTCTTTTGCTCGCATCACCGTTGTGTTAAGCAAAACAAATCAAGGTGGCGGAAGACTCAAGCGGTTCTCAAGCAACCCAAGCACAGCGGGAGATGCCGGACGGACACAACTGGAGACACAATAGTGACCCAAGCTGGTAGATTTGCCCATGAAAATCCCATGCTCGCCATGTGGTGTTTGGCTCTTGGTGCAGTGTTACCTGTCGGGGTTTGGTGATAAGTGTAAGCCCATCCTGGCTGATTGTGCCTGGAAATCCGATAGCTGCAATAGGCTCCTGATCAGAAACACCCCAGCACAACTGAAGATTTTCGGAGACACGTGGAAAGTTTATGACAAGCAAAAACCATGTTTCAAAGGAGTAAGAACGGCTACCGTCGGTAAACCTGTTTGTGGATCCGGTTTCCCGAGATACTGACAACTCTTCAAGTCCGTTGATTGCGCATGCGTTCATTGTAGAAGTGCACATTTGTGAAGGCTGGTGAACTTTGGAGTCGCTATGGGGTCCTGTCCCTATCCTCCAAAGATCCACTATTTCGGAGTGGAGAAGACTATTGGAGTCTTTTGTCCGAAAAGTTTAGCATTCTTCGCAGACAGTTGCATTGTCGATTGTTTGGATGCCATCGCTAGTAGGTTAGAGGCCATTGCTTCTAGGTTGGAGGCCATCTTTAGTATTGTACGGGAGACGAATCGCTCCAAGGAGGAAAGATTTGGGCCAACCTGAACTATCTTACGATTTCTGCCTTGCAGAGATGCGAAAGTGAACAGGACCTATGGTTTGGAAAGCTGATTTGATGCATCACATTTGCTACTGGCATTTTAGCTTACATTTGATTGCTACTAGGTTGGAGGCCATCGCTAGTAGCACATCACTAGTAGGTTGGAGGCATACGTTTGATGCACGTCCTTTCGAGGCTGCCACAGCTTTCCGCTCGCTGAAGTCGGGTTTCGTGGCCACGGTGCTGAGAACTTTAAAGCGAACTATGTCCGCAAGTTCGAGTGAAAGGGCATCGCTACTAGGAGCGATCGGACTCTACGAACGGGGCTCCTGGCACTACTAGGAGCAAGGACACTATGGACAGAAACGCTGAAGCACTCAAAGGTCCAACCTAATAGCGATGTGAAACACTGATGAAACATCGACTATGTGTGATCGACTATGACGAAATGCTCCGAGGACAACGCTTTCTGATGGAGAACTTCGACCCCAAAACCGGAGAAGGTCGTGGCGCGGCACCATTTGCAGGCAGATGTTCACGACTGACAGTCTTGTGCCGTCTCTTGTGCTAGCGTCCTTGCTCCTAGTAGTACGGCCAGGAGCCCCTAGTAGCTTCTTGTTCCTATACCAGCAAAAGAAAAGAAAAAAAGCAGAAACGGGTCTATCAACATGAAACAAGAATGGTCAGAACAAGACCGAATGGAAAAGCATGACACAACGATTGCTGGAAAAAACAAGACTCCAACCTTGGTGGCACCTGGTCTCCGAATCGAAACGGGAAGGGTGGACCAGCTTGGTGGCACTGCTGGCAGAGAGCCACAGCGTCAAGCGACAAGAAGCAGCGAGCGAAGTGACAGGTAGCGACGAGAGGTCGGAAGAAGGGAGGAGCGATCTGTGAGAAAAAGAGAGGAAACAAGAAGCTACTAGGAACAAGTGCCACGCTAGTAGTAACAGGTGCCTTACTAGTAGTAACAAAAAGCTAGTAATGAACATTCTAATTAAATTCTTATTGTTACTAGTAGTAAGGCACTTGTTACTACTTGGTGTATGTTTGTGAAGATGTGACAGCATGGTATCAAAACTGTGTAGCAATAGCAAAAGTTAGCCACAACTTGACACAACCCAGAGGTGTGTGTGTGTAGAGTTTAGGAGCAAAGGCCATCGCTACTAGGAGCAAGAAGCTACTAGGGGCTCCTGGCCGTACTACTAGGAACAAGGAACGCTACTAGGTGGATGTGCACCGAACTGCAGATGAACAACTTCTTCTTTCGTTCTCTTCAGCTCTTGGTCCATGCAGCCTCTTTTTTTTCAAGGACGCTACGAATGGGGCGGCATCGCTACTAGGAGCAAAGGGCCTTACAACTAGGAGCAAGGTTCGCTACTAGTAACAAGTGCATTGTTACTAGTAACAAGGGCCTTGCTACTAGTAACAATGTTCGCTAGTAGAAACAAGAATTAAATTAGAAACAATAAGCCACTAGGAACAAGTGCATCGCTTCTAGTAACAAGGGCCTTGCTAGTAGTAGCAATGTTCGCTATTAGAATTAAATTCAAATTAATAGCTTCTTGTTACTACTAGTAAGGCACCTGTTACTAGTAGCGATGCACCTGTTCCTAGAACGCAGAAATCGATGTTCACACCAAAACGGCACAGACCGGGCACCGAATTCCCAAGTTCCCCCGGCCGTTTCCCCATTCGGATTCCCAGCGCACATGGTTTTTCCAAGCGCTTCGGCGCTTCCGGGCGAAAGCCAATGCATCACCCAAGCGTAGCAAGATGCCTGAGATTTCTTCAGTGTTCTTGCGCTAGCTTCCTTGTTCCTAGTAGCTTCTTCCTCCTAGTAGCGATGCCAGGAGCCCCTAGTAGCGTCCTTGCTCCTAGTAGATTCCTTTGCTAATTTGAATTCGAATAAAAGAATACGGAATGAAAACTTAATTCTAATTACTAATTCTTGCTTCTACTAGCTTCTTGTTACTACTAGTAAGGCACTTGTTCCTAGTAGCGATGCACTTGTTACTACTAGCTTCTTTGCTCCTAGTAGAAAGGCCAGGAGCCCCGAACGTAGCGTCCTTGCTTCGAAGCGAAACTGAGGGGACGACTCCGGTGACTCACACGAAGGTTTCCCAGGACCTGTCCGCTTCGTTTTGAACAAGAAGCTAGTCGCAACAAGAAGCTAGTAGTAACAAGTGCATCGCTACTAGGAACAAGTGCCTTACTAGTAGTAACAAGAAGCTACTAGGGGCTTCTGGCCATACTACTAGTAGCAAAAAGCTACTAGGTTGAAGGCCATGGCTAGTAGGAAAAGAAGACCGGAAAAGACACATTTGAGGCCAGGCGATGACGATGCAGATGCATCTCCCGGCAGTGTGCAGCTTTGCATTGCAATCATGTTTGTCGCCTCATGTGGCTTGAAATCCAAAGCAAGACAGGCAAGAAGTGGATCAGTTGCCATCCGCGAATACCTCCAAACATGTGACGTGAGAGCAAGCCTTGCTATCCATAAAGTGACGGGCAAAGAACGGCACACACACTAAGCCCCAAGCGCAGCGACCGTGAAGCCATCTTGAAACGAGGCGAGAGCGAAGCAGGTCATTGCCGCATCACATGTAGGCCTCCAACCTTAGTAGCGTCCGATCGCTCCTAGTAGCGATGCCAGGAGCCCCGAACATTGCTCCTACCCCCCCCCCGCGCGCGTGCGCGCGCGCAAAGGTCCTAGTAGCATCCTTGCTTTTAATTACACTTATATAATTCTATTTAAAGTCTAGTTACTTTTTGTTTCTACTAGCTTTTTGCTCCTAGTAAGGCCCTTGCTCCTACCAGCGATGGAGAGTTCACCGGAACCACACCGATTCCGCGGTGGGCTTCGGTAGGAGAAAGAGTTTGACCGGTGGAGCGACGATGAGGTTGGCATCGAAGAAAGTGAGGCGAAGGAAAAATGTTTGCTACTAGTAACAAGTGCAACGCTTCTAGTAACAAGTGCCTTACTAGTAGTAAGAATAAGAAGACGTTAATTAGAATTAAGTATCAAATTTGCTATTTTGAGAGACCTTGCAGCATTGCTTTTCGGTTGGAGGCCGTCGCTAGTAGGTTGGAGGCCATTGAGAGGCTTTGCAGCATTGTTTCTTGGATTTTGAACATTTTGCCAGGTGAAGGACTCTCCGAAGAAAAAGTTGCGAGATTTTGATGCCTGGAGTGCCCCTTGTCCCAGATTGATGTGGCCCATTCCACAAACATGTTCGCAAGTTTGTTAGTGATGGAATTGTCTTGGATCCATGATGGCCCGTGATGTGTTGGAAAGAAAGAAAAAAGAAAACGATGATCCAAAAGAACTGTAATTGTCAAATAGGCCATTGCTTCTAGGTTGAAGGCCATCGCTATTAGGTTGGAGGCCCAATCTTCTCACAGTTTCCTCGTTTTGTCTTGAGGACAGCGGCGAGGATGTGGTTGAGGCTCCACGTGCCGGTGTCGTCGTTGGAGATGAAGGCAAAAGATCGAAGTGGAGAAGAAGCGAAAGGAACTAGTAACAAGGACCCTACTTGGGGCTCCTGGCCTTACTACTAGGA